GGCGGCCTCCCCGGGCCCGGCGCCGGCCCCGCCGCCCGGGTCCCGCTCCTCGTAGCCGGGGTTGCGCCGGCCGGGGCGCAGGCGGCAGAAGCAGCCCCCCGCGGGCCCGGAGTAGTGCGCCAGGAGGGCGGCCACGCTGGCGAACTCGGCGTTGGAGTGCTGCCGTGGGAGAGAGGGGAGAGCCAGAGGTGAGCTGTGCCCCCCACACACCCCTGAACTGAGTGTGCCCGCGCACAAATGCCGTGTGCCTGCACGCCCACGCACCTCACACACCCCGGGCTCTGCACAGGCACCCACGCAGCAGGCACGGGTGAGGGCATGAGTGCAGCACAGCCGTGCATGCCCTGCGTGGGTACTGGGGGGCTGTGTGTGCACGGTACGCCCAGATACACCCACAGACCAGAGCACCTGGCCTGTCCGGGGAGCACAGCACACCAGGGCCCTCTTGCATCACATACCTGGGCATTAGTGCACCCAAAACTCGGGCGTGTGACACACCCAAGGGTGGCTGCCCTGGTGCACCCACGCCCAGGGTACCTGTGTGCCGTGCCCAGATGCAGCTCTGTGCCTCAAGGCACCCGTGGATCAATGACCCACGCACCCACACCCCTGTGTGCAGCCACACCTGCACCCGAGCCCACCTCGGTGCATCCCTGCACCGAGGCACACGCACAGCAAGTGCAGTTACAGCGTGCATTAAATGCATGCACACAGCGGCGCGTTCCTGTCCTGGTGCCCCAACACAGCGCACATCGAGGCACGAACGCACTCACAGCCCCAGTGCGTGCACACACACGCAGAGTCCCAGCTGAACGCTGTGCACAGCGGTGCAGCCGTGCCGGGCACACCAAACGCACCGGGGCACACGCAGGGCAGCACCGCCTGCACCGCCGCGCCCACAGCCGCGCTCACCTCCACGCAGAACCGGCCGTGCAGTGTCCGCAGCACGCCGTAGCACACCACGCCGCACGGAGCCCGCACCCACAGGCACCAGCGCTGGGGCAGCCCGGGCTCGGCGCGCAGCAGGAAGGAGCCGGGCGCGTCCCGCCGCAGCAGCGAGACCCCGGCGGCCCTGGGGGAGAGGCGGCCGTGGGGCAGGACTGGGAATGGGGCAGGGATGGGGCAGGGGTGGGGATGGGGCAGGGCTGGGAATGGGGCAGGACCGGAGATGGGACAGGGCTGGGGATGGAGCAAGGCTGGGGATGGGACAGGGCCGGGGATGGGGCAAGATCGGGAAATGGGCAGGGCCGGGGATGGGGCAGGGCTGGGAATGGAGAAGGGCTGGAGATAGGGCATGGGCCGGGGATGGAGCAGGGGCTGGGAACGGGGCAGGGCCGGGGATGGAGCAAGGTTCGGGATGGGACACAGCCGGGGATGGGGCAGGGGCAGGGAATGGGGCAGGGCTGGGGATGTGGTAGGGTCCGAGGATGGGCAGGGCCGGGGTTGGAGCAGGGCCGGGGATGGAGCAGGGCCGGGGATGGGGCAGGGGTGGGGATGGGGCAGGGGCGGGGATGGGCAGAGCCGGCCACGGGCACAGCCCGGGGCCGGGCAGGGCTGTGCCTGCCGAGGCTCAGGGGCTCGCACCCACGCGCTCACCTGGCGATGCCGGCGAAGGCCCACACGCTCTCGGCGAGCACGCTCTCGTTCTCGGGCAGGAAGGCCAAGCTCCTCGCCCCTTTGCTTTCACCTCCCGCCGCCGCTGCGGGAGCCCGTTAATCCCCTCCTCGCCCCCAAACACTCGTGGCACCGTGTGTCCCCGTGCCTCAGTTTCCCCCGGCACTCACCGGCCTCGCGGGGCTGCTGGTGGAGCTGTCCCTCGGCCCCGCAGTCCCGGTAGGCTCCCGAGCGCAGCACTTTGCTCCGGATGGCTTTCTTGCGCACCAGCACGGGCGAGCAGTAGGGGTTCCCCGGGCGCCAGGCTCTGCCCTCCGCCTCCGGCCGCCGGTCCTGGGGACGGACAGGCTGAGAGAGTGGCCCGGGGCTCTGGCCGTGGGGGGAGTCAGGAGAAACACCGCGCGGGAAAATGCTGCCCAAAGGATGCAACACCAGAAAAGCTGTGCAAAACACCACCAAAAAAGAAGAAGAAGAAGAAAAAAAAATCTCATGCAAAATACCGCGGGGAAAATGCAGTGCAAAAAATGCAGTGCAAAACATGATGTGCAGAAGAAATGCCATGCAGAACACCGTGGAACAATGCCATGCAAAAAACCACCATGCTGTGCAAAACCACAGCGCCAAAAGAGCTGTGAAGAGCATTTTTACTGTGTAGGCATTTCTGCCAGAAATGCCACGCCAAAACAGCCATGCAAACCGCCGTGCAAAAAGTGCCATGAAAAAAGTTATGAGAAATAATGCTGTGTAAATAAAGTTCTACAAACACATATCATGGAGAGAAAGTGCTGTGCAAAACGCCAAGGAAAAAATGCGCTGTAAAACCTCCTGCAAAATCGTTGTGCAAGGAATAGCTGTGCAAGGAATAGCTGTGCAAGGAACAGCCGTGCAAGGAACAGCTGTGCAAAGAGGCCGGTGGCAGAAGGCCCTCAGGGAAAGGCTGTTCCAAGCAGGAGCAGAGCAGCAGGGCCGTGCAGGATGGGCCCTGTGAACTGCAACCCTCCAGAGAAAAGGTTGTGCATGACACTGCACATGCACCACTGTGCAAGGAAAGGCTGCACAAAGAGGAAATGCAAGGAAACCATGCAAGACACCAGGTAATGGTGTGTGCAGTGACAGCGTGCTGCTCAAAATGAGAGAAAAGGTGGCACAAGAGCTGCCTGGGAACAGCTGTGCAAACCCCTGTGCTAAAGCACCATACACAGACTGCTGTGAGAGAAACTGGGCTGTCCTGTGCAGGGCCAGGAGCGGGACTTGATCGTCCTTGTGGGTCCTGTCAGGCCCAGAATGTTCTGGAAACGCCATGTGGGGGAAAAGCCCTGCGAGACCCCGTGCACAAACTGTGCCAAAGCACTAGAGCAGAGTGCTGAGCCAGGAAAAACCATGTGAGAGCCCCAGGTGTGAAAATCCCGGGTGTGACAGCCCGAGGTGTGAGAGATCCAGGTGTGAGAGCCCCGGCTGTGAGAGATTCAGGTGTGAGAATCCTGGGTGTGAGAGATCCAGGTGTCACAACCCCAGGTGTGAGATATCCAGGTGTGAAAATCCCGGGTGTGAGAATCCCGGGTGTGAGAGCCCCAGGTGTGAGAGATCCAGGTGTGACAGCCCCAGGTGTGAGAATCCCTGCTGTGAGAGCCCCGGGTGTGAGCAGCAGCCGGGCAGGGCAGGGCAGGGCAGGGCAGGGCAGGGGCACCTACCCCGGTGCCCAGCGGGCCGAGGCCGCCGGGCGCGGGCAGGCGCCGGAAGGACACGAGGGCGTTGACATTCCGTGACACCTCCTCGGGGTTGAGGGGCTCCCGCAGCACCCCCGGCCCCGGGAGCTCCCCCTCGCCCGCCTGCTCCTCGGGGTGCGCCAGGAGGTAGCAGAGCTGGAAGGAGCGGCAGAGCAGGAGGTGCAGGGTCTGGACCTGGGGGAGGCGAAGGACGCTCAGTGCAAATATTAAAAATAATAAGAATGAAGGTGTTTGGGCGGGGGGGCGGCGTTGGGCTACCACCTCTCCCGGGAGCCCCACGAAGAGGTGGCAGAAGAGGGTGCTGGGCGGGCTGTGGGGGTTGCGGGCCACGAAGGCGAACTGGCGGTCGGGGAGCCTCCAGGTGCTGTAGAGGATGCGGCGCAGCGCGTGTGCCATCAGCAGCGTCTGCGGGACGGCGCGGGGGTCAGGGGCACCCAGCGCCCCCGGCCCGCCCCAGGGGCACCTTGCACACACAAAACAGCTTCTCGAGAGAAAAGCAGCGCTCAGAGAGGTAGAGCCCCTCCAAGCACCTTTCCAGCAGAGCACTGAGACCTCCCCAGCATCCCCGACCCCTCAGCACCTTTGACCCCTCCTCCCCGCATTCCTGACTCCCCTCCCCAGCACTCCTGACCCTCCCAACACCCCCTCAACACCCCTGACGCCCCTACTCAGCCCCCGTGAGCCCCAGCACCCCTTGCCCATCCCCACTGACCTCCCCGTCAGCGCCGTAGACCTTCAGGCCCTGCAAGCTGAACCTCAGCACCACCGACCTCCTCCGGGGACAGTCCTGTCCGGGGCAGATGTGGCACTGGGGGCTGGGCAGTGCCCCTGGGGGTGCCCCGGTTATTTGGGGTCCCCTGTGTTTCCCAGGGCGGGGAGCAGTGGTCGATCCCGACCTTCAGTGCCCGCAGCTGCTCCTCCACCTGCCCCGCTCGCTGCTGCAGGTCCAGCTCCTCCACCATGAAGGATCCCACGTACTGGGGGGGCAAAAACCCCACCCGGGTCAGCTACAGCCCCCCACGGTGTCCCCCCAGGGCAACAGACCCCCGCTGAGATGATGGTTTGGGGAGTCATGAGGGTGCAGCAGCACCCACAGCTCGTCTCGGGGTGTCTCCCCCCACCCCCCCGTGGGTAAGTCACCTCTGCTGGCTTGGTGACAGAGCGGGCTCGCTGCTGGGGGGCCGCAGGCTCCGGCCCCCGCCCATTCCCCGGCTTCCTCTTCATGGCAGCGGGGATTCGGGGTGAAGCAGGATCAGGATGGGGCCAAGCGGCTCTGGTGGCACATCTGAGTTACCCAGAGCCCTCCAGGGTGATGGGGCTGGAGCAAGCACGGGGAGCCTGGGTCCGGCCCCCGGTCACTGTTCCTGCGAGGAGGGAGGGGACAGACACAACCTGCCCCCACTGTCCCGTTTCCAGCCCGCTGAGCCCTGGGGAGGTGCTGCGGTCCCCGTGTGGAGCCCCCCAAGTCCTGACGCCAATGCAGATGTCCCCAAGTCCTGGTTCAGGTGTCCCCAGGTCCCGGCCCCAGTAAAATGGTCCCAACCCCAACACAAGGGTTCCAGCCCCCCGACTGCAAGGGTGATGTGAGGATCCCCATCTTCTGCTCCTGAGATCAGTCCAGGCTCCCATGTCCCCACTCCAAGCAGCATGCAGACAGTCCCCCACGTCCTGATCCCGATGGGGATGGGAGGGTCCCCAAATCTCCACCCCAAAGGTGATGGATGCAGTGCCCACATTCCATCCCCAAAGAGACCCAAGCAGTCCCTGCTGGTGGATGCAGTGCCCACATTCCTTCCCCAAAGAGACCCAAGCAGTCCCTGCTGGTGGATGCAGTGCCCACATTCCTTCCCCAAAGAAACCCAAGCAGACCCTGCATGCCGAACGTACTGTGGACCCCAAGTGAGGTGCATGCAGTCTCACATCCCGAACTCCAGCAAGGTTTTGGGGTCCCCCCACATCCTCCCCCCTCCCATCCTCCACCCCACTTCCCGCCGGCCACGCAGCAGCACCGAGACCCCCGGGGATCTGCGGGAGTGATCCCCAAACACCAGAGATGCGGGCAGCAGACTTGGGGGTGCTCTTCGGTCCAGAGCAGCCACGGAGGAGTGCGCCGGCCCCTTCTCCGGCCACCCAAAGGGGGGTTGGTGCTGGGCAGCCCCGGCCGGGCTGGGTCCGGCCCCGCCGCAGCCGCGACAGGGGGAGGGGGTCCGGCTGCCCCGGGCGCATCCTGGCGGTGGGGGGGGGTCCCTGCGGTGCCATCTCCCGTCACGAGCGCAGCTTGGCCCCTCTCCTTCCCGGCACAATTTGGGGGTCTCCCCCCTCCCCCAGCCAATCCGCGGACAGGCAGCCCCCAAGCCCCGCCCCCCTTTTCCCACGCTTCATTTCTCAATGGAGCCCCCAGCCCACCGACCACCCCGGGGGTCCCCAAGGAGGGATGCTGACCCCCTCCCCCCCCAAATTTAGGTGATGTGTGACTCCAAGCACCGAGCATCCCCGGGGACCCCCATCCCGCTGGACCCCCCCGGCTCACGGCAGCTCTCGCTTGGATGGCTCCGGAGAAACGCAGGTGAAAAATTCCCGCTGCTCCGGCTCTCGGCCTCCGCCGGTTGTTTTTCCCTCGCCGGTGGCTCCTCCGGCCGCGGCGCGGGGATGCTCGACCCGCGGGTGTCAGGCCCTCGCCGCCAGCCAGGCCCCGGCGAGCCCGAGCCCACGGAGCCCACGCCGGGCACGGGGCAGGCAGCAAACTCTCATTTCCTGCCTCCGATCTGCCCGCGATGAATCACCGCAATTTTCCTCCTCGGTTCTCTCCGTTTCTTGGAAGCGACGGCGAGCAGGAACGCTCGCTCGGGATTTTGGAAAACGCGGCGGCAACTGATTTTCTCTGCGTCTTTTGCCGTCTCCTCCGGCGTGCCCAGCGGAGCAGCGATTTCTAACCCTGACACGTACACACGTGGTTGCTCGCCCGCCAGCCCCTGCCCTGATGCTCAGACCCTTTTCACCCCAATTTCTACATTCCCTGTGGAGTTTTGCCCACTGCTGCCTGATTTGCTGGAATAAAAGTGAAGCTCTGGCCTCACTGCAGAGCAACCACGTAACCCAGAGCCCCCTCAGCCTCTGTGCCAGCCAAAGGAAGCTGACCCAGGCTCAGGGACCGGCTTGGCTCCTGGAATGGGAAAGCAGCGGTTTGGGGAGGGGTCTGCATCCAAACCTCGGCGCTGCATCCAAAATCCCTCGTGCCCCAGCAATGCTGAGGGTGTGAGGGAGAGGGTCTGACTGGCACCATCCAGCCCTTGGGGCACTGCCAGCACCAGCTGCTTCCAGACACCGCGAGCTGCGCCGGCAGAGCCACCCCATCATCCATAGTGGAGAAACCATGGAAAAAAAGGAAAAAAAGGAAAAAAAAAAGGGACAGATGGGGCTGAAGAAACAACATAACAGAGCCCAGTCTGGCCAGGAAGCAAAGACTGAGGAAGAGCGAGGGGCAGAGCTGGCACAAACCCCCCAGAAGGCGTTTGCTCTGCTGGCAGTGAAGACCTTCCCATTCAATCCCAGCCACTGCTCCTGGACCACTCCTTTGGATTAAATACAACCAACCCTCAGACTTTTTTTGGTTCGGCGTGCAGAAATCACCTCAGTGAAACCACAGCCAGAGTCTGGCAATGACCAAGGTTTTGGCACAACTCTTAATTCAAGGTGCTCCTGCTTGGATGTGAGAAATCCGTGTCATCCAGAGCAATGTTTTAACAAACACGCATGGGATTGTTGGTGTGGGGATGCAACTGGGAGGAGGGAGGTTGAAAAATGCCCAGCACCTGGGTGAAGACTCCTTGTCCCCATAAATATGCCAGCACTGAGAAGTTTCTCCAATTCATCTCACCACAATGCCAACAAACCCCACAGCTTTGGTACAAGCAACCCCAGGAACAAGCCATTAACTAATGTTTCCAATTGCTTTACATCCCTGTGGATCATTCTTTGACCAGAGCTTTCACTTTGTTTCCCATCAGCTGTGATTTCTAACCTGCTGTTTGTACCCTTCTTACAGGGTTAGGAACAATTTAGGCCATTTCTATAGGAATTTTTAAACTCCCAGTCAGAGGCAGCACACTGAGACAGCAGCTGAAAAGAATAAATTCAATGAAGCTGTTTCCTCCCTTTCTGTGTAACTCCCCTCCTCACAGCTCCTTGCAGCAGCACGTTGGAGACTGTCAGGTCCCATTGGCATCACTGCCCTGGGCAGGGCAGAGAGGGAGGTGCTGAGCTCTGAATGCAGGTGCTGCTCTGTGGAGCAGGGCCAGGGGAGAAGGTTTCAGCTGGGACTTTTGTCCTCACTGATCACTGACAAGGGGACAAGAGGACCAGCAAGAGGTTTCAACAGAGCTTTTTCCCTCACTCACCTTTGTCTCCAGAGAAACCAGGGAAGAAAAAGGTCAGGAACTGGTCCAACTACAGAGCTTGGCAGTGGCTCAGGCTAAATCATGCTGGCTTTGAACAAAGATCTGCCTCTGCAGCAATCCGTGGTGACTGTATTCCCTCCTCTCTACCTTTCCAGGAGGAGAAGCTGGGGCGAGGAGAGAATGGACACAAGGCAGGTCTGGAATCTAGTTTCATTTTATTTTAGCAAACCGCATGTTCTTCACTTATCAACATCTCTACATTAGCAATTGTATAGCTCTCCAACTTCTCTTTAAAAAAGGGTAAACAAGAGGTGACAAACTCAGGCTTTTTATCTCTTAAAAACATTTGAAAGTTGGATTCAAGAAGACTTTGATATATTTTGGTTTTAAGGTAACAGATGTGGTGTGGAAACACTAATTCAAATCACCCGCCTAACCGAGAGCTGCCCCTTTGGGAGCCCCTCTGGCACCAGACCCTCAGGGACACCAAGGATCCGACTCAGCAGCCAGCCCTGGGCCTGTGGTGAGGAGAGCAGCACCTCGGGGCTCAGTGCAAGTGCTGTCTGTACACAGCTCCCTCACGGGAGCACCAAGGACCTCAGCATGCAGGGATCTGGGGAGGACTCCTCTGCCACGGCACCTTCTCAGTAAAGAATCACATTCCCCTGATCATCCTGTTCCTGCTGTCTAAAGGTATAAAGATCTTCTCTGAAGAATTGTTTTAAAAGCCAACCCTCCCCCCCAAAACCCACGTGGAATACCATAAATGTACAGATTAGAGACGTCCTAGAAAAGTCCTAAAATTATTGCAGAAAGTAAAGATGACTCGTTCCAGGGGAGGGGCAGGCCCGAGGCACAGCATCGAGATCTAATGAATGCTCGGGTTGGTTTGATTTAGTTTTCAGCTTTTCCCCATCGTTCAAGAAAAAAATTTAAAAAAATTAAAGAAGTGTTTAAGCATCATAACTAAAATACAAATGCACGTTGACTTATAAAACAAGATTGTGGATTTGACCATGGGATTCCCTGACATCAGAAACATTTTACTTTTTTGCCCGGAGAGATTTCCTCATGGTGGATTTGCCCTTGGCAGAGGGTTTCACTTCCTTCCTCCCACTGGCTGCTGGTTTCTTGGAAGAGCTGCCACTGGAGGCTTTCTTGATGGCTGGGGCTGCTGGTTTGGCTTTCTTAGCAGGGGTTTTGACCTTGGGAGGGGGCTTTGCTTTGCCCCGGCGGGCGGTGGGGGTTTTCCTTGGCTTGGGTTTGGACTCTCTTCGCTTCATCGGAGGGGCCCTGCTCCGGGACTTGGGGGGTGGTCTCTTCTGCATCCTGTCAGGAAGAGACAGCACAGGAGCTCAGTGGAGGCACAAACGGTACCCAGAGCAGAGCTGCTGTCAGCAATTTGCATAAATGAAGCACATCTTGGCATCCCTGTCCTTTGCCAGCACATTCCATGAGCTAAATCCCAAAGAGCAAGAGCTCCTCTGGTAGCTCTACACTGAGCACTTCCCATCCCTACAGAGCTGCCAGCTTCCAACCCCTTTGTTAGGCAAATAAACATATAAATAATGCCAGTGAATCAGTCAGCTGTCAGAACAATTAAGAGCCCTAAGCACTATCTCTCCTCTCTAAATGGGATTTTTACTTAACAAACACTCATATTAAGTCCAAATTCTGAGTGAGGCAGGTCTCATATCTGGCTACAGAGCTGCAAATAATTACTGTAGGGAAGAATTTTTTAAAGGAAACAATAAATACAAAAAGCTCCACGTGAAACATCACAGTTTCTAAAGCAGGAGACTAAAAGCAATGTAAAGAATAAACACAGGCTCTCATCTGGAGGAGAAAAGAGGAAGGCTTCAAACTATGGAATGGGAGAGGTCAGTATCTCTGGAATAAGGAATAACTATAAACTTCTGCCAACACCTGTGAGCAACAGCCCTGTGGATAGGTGACCACAGCAAGAGACACACCTGAGCACTCTGCAGCTGTGACAGACACCTATTTCACCCAAAGGAGCCCACTCATCTCTCATGCTGCCATACCTCTTCTTTGGTGGTGGCTCTTCCTCCTCAGACTCTTCCTCTTCAGATTCTTCTTCCTCCTCAGATTCTTCCTCTTCTTCCTCATCAGATTCCTCAGAATCCTCATCCTGCTGCTTCTCTGGATAGAGCACATCTGGGCTACAAGAGGGGTCTGGTCAGAGCGTGATTTGCTTTTAAGGTACAACTCCAGGGTAGGCAAGCCCTGGGTGACCTGGCTCTCCTCTGGCACTGCAGCCTCCCCCTAAGGCTGCAGCTTTAGCCCAATCCAGAATCACCCCCAGGAATTATGTGACTGCTGCTATGGTTATTTAGTCTCTGCAATGGCAGAAACATGACAGCCTGGGAATGTACCAGCCCTAAGCTGTGCCTTCTCCATTTCCCCATTCTTCCTATCCTTCATTGCTCCTTCCCTGCAAACCCAGGGAGAGGAACAGCAAAGGGGTAGGATCAGACTCCAGCAGCTAAGCATGGCTGAAGCTGTGAGGGGTCACATGTGCAATAAAGGGAGCTGGGGAGCAGGCACTTCAATGTCTGTGCTGCCATTTGGCTCTTCCTGGGACACCAAGGCCTCATCCCAGGGCTCCACATGGCCCAGCACAGGGTCAGCTCACAGCAGGAGAAGAAAGGCTGGTTTAGCCTCAGTACCTAATCTAGGTCATCCTCCCTCAAGGAAGGAACAGCTGGATCCTGCTCCTTAGGAGCATCCTGGCATGGAGAACCCACCCCACTCCCTGCTCAGGTAAATTGGTTGTAGCACAGAACACTTAAATAGCCCAGCCTGCAACAAAAGCAGCACAACAGACTACCTGAGAACACTGAACCCAGTATTTCTACCGCCCTTAAAAGCTTCCCTTGCTAATGAAGTCAGGTTTCTGTTCACCCAAGTAATGCCATTATCCAGAGCATGGGTGACAATGTGGCAGTTCAGCAGTGAGTAAACCCTCCACAACCTCCTTGTAAATAGCAGGCTGGCTCATGAACTCCAGCTCTGATACCTGAGCTGTGCAAAACTCCTGAACATCATTTTACAGACAAGCTCTTTACCTGGGATAATAAGGGAAGCAAAGTTGAAAGGTTCCACTGAAGCCTTTCCCAGAAATTTGCTCCATCCAGCCATTCTTCTCACATTTCTGCAGGGTTCTCTTCAGTAGATGCACTGTGAGAAAGAAATCCAAGAAAAGCTGTGTTACTATCTTTATCCTCTTGTCTGACCTTACTGCTCTCTACTGTGCCCTCTGAAATCAGAGCTGGAGTCAGGATGGGAAATCCTCTCAGTCAATTTGAACAAGATACAAGATATTGTTCCTGAGCACCTGGCAAGAGTGGCTTTAAATTCTCCAAAGGAAGGAGTTGAGAACAGTGCACGTTTCTGATGTTATCATCATGGGATGCTCCTTCATAAGTCATTCAAGAGCACCATGTAACTACGTCTGTCCAAATTTAACCCAGGTCTCAGACTGTCCTCTAAAGTGTGTTTTAAAACAAGCCTTTTACCCTGGTTTTGATCTCCTCATGTTCTAAATGTTGTATGTGTTGCATCTTTCCCCATACCGTGGCTTGCTTTTTGTTTTGCTGTTTAAAGGGTAGAATATTTGGTCTAGAAACACAACAAATGGACTTCTTATTCCAGTCTTTTATTCCAGACTTTTATTCCAGCCATTCCATTGTGTACTGTGTAAGAACTGAAACTCAAACTGTGCAAGTACAGGGGATCTTTGTCTCTGGCAAAGGGCTTGGGTTGTTTAGTCAGTTCAGAACTATTTTCAGCTTGACTTAGAGGGGCCATTTACATATTGAGCTCCCAGGAAAAAACAAGGTTCACTCTCTAGCATGTTCCAAAGTTTTTATAACCACCAGGCTGGTTTCACTCTGGGTGTCAAAGGTCAATAACAGCACATAAGGGATTTGACTCCAATCAAGTCCAGTTCTGCAATGAGCCATAAACTGGGGAGGAGAGCAGAGCTCTGCTCTGCAGTGTGTACCCGCCTGCTTTTCACATCTCACCAGATCTTCCTCCGGCTCTCTCAGAACAAAGCAGAGATCATCAAAATTCTTTTTATGTAACGGAAGGAGAAAGAAAACAACAGATTGCAAGCTGAGGTTTCCTTATTGGCCTTGCAGGAGCGACAAGCACTGGAGGCTGGCTCAACACAGTTCCTAAGGACCAGGGACATTTCCAATGGTCCTGAAAGTAAACCATGGGAGGGCTTAGGAAGCCTGGAACCTCTTTTCCCTGCCCTGAGATTAAGAAGTCACACTCAGCATCAATTTCTAATTGGCAGAAAGCCTCAGGGCAGCTTCTTCAGTCCTGGAACCTGTGCTGTGTGTCAGTAACCCTGCACCAAACAGCTGTGCTGATGCTGTGCTCCAGCTCTGGGTAAAGACTGTGGGATCAGAAACCTCCTCTCTGCTCCTGAGGAATGGCACTAGCTCGGTGAACAAACACCACAGGAACAAACTGATCTATGTTCAGGTTTGAGCAGAGACCACTGTGACTTCAGCCTGTCTCTATGGACCTCCAGCACCAACCAACTGCATGGGGGCTCAGCCCAAACAACCCAAAGAAGCCACCAGAACATCTGCTTGAAAGCCTGTGCTCAGGCAAAAGTCAAACCAGACATTAGAGTCACTCCTGGGAACAAAGACATGCCAATCTCCCTTCCAAATAAAATACAATTAGCTTTTCTCCTTATTTGCTTGACCTTTAAAAAATCAGGTGCAAAGTAGGGCCTCAAACAAATCAGTAAGAGGGGTGCTCGTGAATTTTTTAAAAAAGTTAAACTACACAAGTTGTCTCAATAAAAAGCAATTAGGAACTGCATTGATGCAAGCTGCTGTCCCTTTCAAAGCAGAGAGATATGAAATCAACTTGGTGATTTAAGAACAATAAAAGTACTTAAATACTATTCCCCCTTCCTGGCTATAGACAAGAAAATCATGCATTCTGTCTCAGGAACTGGTTTGAAAGCGACTGATGGGAACTAAAACCCCAGAGCATCTCTGCAGCACAAAGGGCTGAGCAGCTGCAGCTCCCTGCAGTTTAAAGGTGCTGCACAGGCACATCTGCAGCTGCAGGACTCTCTCAGCATACAGAATAGAAGCAGTACAGGGATCAGTACTTTACCCTGCAAGTTGGAGTTGGTCCCTGGGTAATTTTCCAGGATATACTTCTTCAGCGCTGTGGTGGAGCAGGTCTTCGGTTCGTTCATGGCCGCAATAGCAGACAGGATGGCATCTTCCATCAGAGTCCCACCCAGCAGGGGCTTCTCCCCTGATTTCTTCAGCTATTTTCCAAGGAGGAAGAGAAAAGCATCAAGACAAAATTCTCCCAAACCAGGTCAGGACAAGCTCCTCTGCACCAGGTGGGTCGGCGCTCCTGCATTAGCACAGATACGTTTAATATTAAAACACTGCACAGGGAACGCTGCTCTCCCAGCTGTAGGTGGGAGGACAGGCCTAGTCAGTCAGCTGGCCTGGGGGGCTTTATCAGCAACACCTCACCCCAGGCCCCAAATACACTGCAAGGATGTGGCAGTCTAAGGGCCTATTGCTCAAGGGAGGAAAGAAAGCAAAATAAATCGCATCTTCCTCCATCCCACGGACCAAATGTACCCAAGAGCCTTCCATGGTACACACATGAGTAAAAGATGTTGCAGGCATCTGGGGTACCTGCTGCACTTCCAGTGAGGGATGGAAAGGAAAGCTTACCCCACCAGCTCCCTACTGTGCTGGTGAGTCAGAGCTGAGCAGTGCATGCAGCACACTCAGCAAGGGAACAGGGGTCTGCTCCTGAAACGGAGACCGAGAGGAGAACAAGAGTCCTACTGCTTCACAGCTGGACAAGTGCGGGGCATGCCAGGCTGCTGAAGAAAGGGCTGCCCAGGGAAACCAGGGGACAGGGCGCAGTAACTGACATCCAAGGCTTGTGGTCAACAAGGATGAAGCCAGTCTCTGACCTGGAATGTCCCAGATGCTCCCTTCCCTGTGATCTGCTCTAACTGGCCCTTCTCTACAGCTCTCTGCAGGGCGTTCTTCAGCAGCTGGGGTCTGAAACACAGGAGGAGAAAGCTTTACTGACACACACTGACAGCTCCAAAAACAAACAGAGAAACAGCGCTTTGCAGCATGTGAGCAGAGCAGCACTTAGAGTGTCTGCCTACATGCAGACACTTTAAATGGAGACCTGTCAGCGAGGCTCGTTGCCCGGGCAGAAGGCGGCACCACTCTGGGAGCTGAGTGGTGGCACGGGCTCGGTGCCACGGCACCGCTGGCAGCTCCGGGCACGTGGCCCTGGCAAGGACCCACTCACCTTGAGCAGCACATTTGGATGTGGTGGGCACTCAGCTCACAGGCAAACAAGGGCTGACAAAACCCTGTTAGAGGTGACATGCAGGGTTTTCCTAGTTTTGCTTCCCAAGCCTCAGCTTGCTCCGTACAGGTCTGCTTAAAGACTGCTGCACATATGTGCTGGCTAAAGCATCGAGATCCAAGGGCCATGAGACCCTGAGGAGAGCCCTTCACATCCAGGCAGTAAAGGGATGTGGGTATGGATGAGGTGTGCAGAGCAGTGCTGCTGGTGGTGTCAGGAACAAAGATGGGATGTGGAGGGACACAAGAAAAGGCACAGCTTTTCCTGAAGTTTTCCCAGAGGCCCTGCCACTCAGAGCAGCAGCTGGCTTAAATACCAGCTTGAATCATTGTGAAGTGAGATAAAACCAGAGGAAAGCCCAGTTTCCCCAGTCCTCTGCTTGCTAAAGCAGCTCCAGCACTTACCTTATATCTACTTTGAGTTTGGGGTAGTACTGAGACACGTATTTCTTGATCAGGCTGTAAGAAGCTTCCTTGGGCTCACACAGGCGGGTGAAGGCCAGTGGCAGGACATCCTCCAGCTTCACCTGCTGCTCTGTGCTCAGGGCTGAAGTGCTTTTCTGGAACACACAGACGTGCATGCATCAGCAGGGCCTACAACTCTGGGTTTCTGAGCCAGCAATTCACATGTGGGGATAAGTGCTCCTGACACTGGCTGCTGAGCTGGAAATTCAGGAGCTGTAAGGCAGCTCTTTAACAACTTAAAACAGTTTGCAGCTTAAGAGATATACAGAAAATCTGGCTGAATTTTCATAGGAGTTTTAGAAAGGCTTCACAAATAAAAATTGCTGAGTACCTAACATCTGTATTTTTAATTATTTCCTTTCTCTTGCTATAGACGTCTTCCTCTGCCACACTTCAGTGAGACGGAAGAAAAATCATAGAATCACAGTATTATTCAGTCTGGGAAAGCCTTCCAAGATCATCAAGTCCAAACATTAACCCAGCACTGACATATTCACCACCAGACCATGTGCCCAAGTGCCACATCTGCAGGTTTTTTGCAGACTTCCAGGGATGGTGACTCCCTGGATCCCCTGTGCCAATGTTTTACAGCCCTTTCTGTGAAGATAATGATACATGCTGACACGAAACTTAAAACTCATCAAAGACAGAACCTGTTTACACAAATCAAGTCTTCCCCTTCCCCAAAATGAACAGCTAAACAGGAGTCCTTTTTTTTTTGGAAATAACACAATAAAATCTTGATTGAAGCCAATGCTCCATTCTGAGTTTTCCTCCACCTCTTTTGTTACTATGAGAGGGGATCATCAGGGAAAACTGGTCGGTTCTGTATACAGAAAATGTGCTGAAGTTCAGTGATTTGATGCTGAAGAGCAGCTCTGCAAACAGTGCATTGGTGAGGGAGCTGCTCCCCTGCCAGCCAAATTCATCCAGAACATTTGTTTTGCTGCAACGCAGAGAAGTAGCTGGGGACAAAGACACCCATATGCTGCAGAGAGAGGTGATGTGTCAGCAGGCATCAGTTGCCTTGCTCACACTTCTTGTGGAGCCAGTCAGCTCTGTTTAAAAAGTTCCACTACAATTAGTTTCCTCCAGGGCCCTACACCAAGTTCAGTTTTAGGGCTTTTGGAGGACCCAGGAGGCAGGAGATGACCACCAAGGTGTTACATGTCTGACATCACCTGTCTAATCCCAAGGGATTGGCAATTCCAGCTAAGCATTTTGTGACTGCAGCGTTAGGAACGTGTTCCACACACTCAACACAGCATGGAGGGGAGATGAGAACTGCTGGAACCACAACTAACTGTGAAGCTCAATAAACCATCCCCTTCCCCAACAACACTGAGTATCAACAACTTTCTTCCAGAAGCCTTAGGACATTTTCTTCTTCCTCCCTCTGTCTTCACAGCTGATGGGAAAACGTTCCCCTCAGTCCTGAAGATTGAAGTCTTCCCTTTATCCACACAACAGATAAAACACACACAGCAGTAGCACAAAACTCTCTTCCAGTACCTGAGAGGCACTTATCTCTGCCCAGCAAAGACAGAAGAAGAGTTTCATGGTTATTCACTTCTGTGTCTCTGAACCAAAGCCTAGGGGGTTAATGTAAACATTTTTAAACTGAGATTTTGATCATTTGACTTGGGTTTAATTCCTCACAGTAGTTTTTTAATACCAGTGGGATGGGTGTTTTAATTGCTGTACTTGTGGAGAAAAAGCTCAGGAAGGAGGAGAACACTGGATTGAGAACATTGGGTAAGGTCCATGTGTTTCAGTGCAGTACATTTCAGAGTGTTGTTTAAAATGTTCCATCTTACCTTTCTGTCTCTGGATTTTGGAACAGTTTTTCCTGCATTAGACACCACCACAAAGCTGCCAGAAGCTCCCTTTCCTTTCACCTGGTTCAAGAGAAAGTAAATTTCAGTCCTTAGCAGAGTAACTCGGAATACTAACAACCTGAGAGCAACTCATCATGATGCAGATTTTGAATGCACTGTCACCCTGCAGTGGGTTTTTATGGCAGAGGCCTGACTTGAACCCACTGAAACTTCTGGAAGATCAGAAACTGCAGCCAGACATTGGGACATACTCTGCTGTGCTGACCAGTAGATCCTGACAGATAACACAAGCATAAATTACAGAGTTAAAACCCACACTGCTGCAGAAGTGACACCGCCGGACTCATGTGCTGCTGCAATGCTGTGTGACACAACACCCAAAATGGCAGGAATTGCACAAAAACCAACGGTGCCAAGCGTGTGACTGACACAACAGTGCTGAAATCCTGCCAGCGTCCAACAAAGCAGGGACAGAGGTTGAGGAACCTCCACAAGGGAGAACATGCTCATTTCACAGACCTTCTAATGAAGTTAAGGAATTCCTATGCAGTTCCCAGAATCGTGGAATGGTTTTGGCTGAAGAGGATCTTAAAGATCACCCAGTTCTACCCCTGCCATGGGAAGGAACACCTTCCACTATCCCAAGGTGCTCCAAGCCTGGCCTTGAACGCTGCCAGGGATGGGGCAGCCACAGCTTCTCTGGGCAGCCTGTGCCAGGGCCTCCTCACCCTCCCAGGGAAGGATCATTTTCCAATACCTCATCTAACTCTGTTCTCTGGCACCTTGAAGCCATTCCCCCTTGTCCTGGCACTCCAGGCCCTTGGAAACAGTCCCTCTTCAGCAATGCCATCTCCAGTGCTGCTCCACAAAGCAGCTCTTACCTGCCTAATGATTCCCCTCTCCAGCTCCCTTTTCAGTGCTTGCTTCAGGAGGTATCCCCTCCTCTCCAGCTCCAGGGAAGGGTATTTGTGGATGATGTATTTCCGTATTGCAACGACCGAGGCACCGCTCTTCTGAAAGCAGGCCTGAAACAGACACAAAACATCAGAAACCACCCACACTGGAATTATCCTGAGTGGGGTGGGAGAACAGAGATTGGACTGATGCACACAGGCCACCACAGGATGCCAGGGCTGGCCTTTTTCCCACTGTGAATCAAGTATAAAACATGACTAACAAAATACTTAACTTTCCTCCTCTGAGTAGCTGAAGAGCAACACAAACAACACAAAAGCAGCACAGCAAGCACATATCTACTATTCCCCTGCTCTGAAGCCCTCACACAGAACGGCTTAAAATACAAAACAGTCACCTTTTGGCAATGCTGCACAACTGATTTACTAACACTTTATTAATGCCAGACTGAGTAATCACTAAGTCTGAACAACCTGCCAATTATTTTTTTTAAGAAGATGGAGGATTGACATCAGTAAACTAGCAAAACTTGAGGTGAAGTTCATTTTTTGAAGCTAGAGGGAAAGGCTATCTTGTAGTTAAGGCTGGTGGCGTCCAGGCCTCCTCTGAAGGGAGTGACCAAGCCTTGAGGGGAGAGCAGCAGCACAGCTACAACAGCAGAGATCTCCTCTTACAGTCAGGAGGGACTGAGTAAACCAAGACCAAGTAAACCAAGACTTTGGATTTCAGGTTTACAGCATCTCCATCTGTACTGGGTTTAGAGTAAGTTAATGCTAAAAGAAAGCACATGGATCAAATGGATGGATGAATCCAGGTAAATGAAGTTAAATGTGGCTAGGAGGCACAGCAAACAAAATTACGACAGCAATCAACCAGGTTATGCCATCCTAGCTGTTCCTCATAATGTAATTAGGGAGGGAAACAAATTCTAAACAAAGGAATCAGCTACAGGGCCCCTCATCATCCTCATGGACTCACATGCCAGCTCCATGGGCTTCCAGGCACAAGCAGACCCATCTTACAGACTGAGCTTCCTGCTAACACACAGCACTGTCACCTGCACCTCAGCAAGCTGAAATTTGCGTGTTTAGGACACAAATTGAATAAAACCCCCATTTGTGTCCTGCCCACCTTGATGGCCTCGGTTAAAATGGCATCCATTTTGGGCCGGGAGGTGGCTGCCATCTGAGTCTGCTTCTGTGCCCGAGCCAGCTGGCTGGCAGAGAGCGTGGCCCACGCAGGGATGGTCTTCTTCACCTTCTTCTCCTTCTCCTTGGTCTGGTCCTTCTCTCTTAGGGAAAATGCAGAGCAATGGTAAGAAAAAAGGCACTAAAACAAGGCAACAAGCAGGACAACAACAACAACAGCAAGCCCAGAATATCTGACATTATTTAATGTAACTTAAGGACTACTTTGATGTTTCTATTAGTAAGAGAGAGACCTTGTACTGGTATTCAGTTTCACATGTTTGAGAACAGCAGCTCCATGTCTCATGTTCACATGTTTGAGATCAGGACCTCCTTCCTTAGAAGCATCTTAAGGAGAGGCACCTTAAGGCACTCATTTTCCCTTTTCTCTCCCACTATCTTCTCTCTCTGTAGAGTCTGACTTCCTTTAGGACCCCACCTAAATCCCTGAATTCAGCGCCAAGTAAGCCTTACTCCTTTTTGGTTTCTTCTGAGGACTTTGTTTCCTCCTTCCCTTCATTCTCAGGTTCCTTTGGCTGTTCTGCTTCACTGGGTGCAGCAGGCAGGGTTTCAGTCTCTTGCTCCTCTCCAACAGAGGCAGATTCCTCAGAGGTGGCTTCTGCATCTAAAAAATGTGAAAAAGCATCAAGTTGCTGTCCAAAACCAGCTTTTATTTTTTAGGAAGGCAGAGGGAAGAAAAGCCAAACTTAAGAACACGCCCCACTAATTATTTCCAACCAATTTATTTTCACTAACTTAAATGTGTTATTTAAAAGCAATTTAAAAAGTGAAGAAAATTACTGAAAAGAGTATCAATAAAGGTGCAATCAGCCCTCAAATGCCAGAATAACTGCAAACAACATGCAGTCATGCAACATTTTCACAATTAACCAGTTCCAACAGTGCTCTCTTAACTCCACAAGCTGCTGTTGCAGACAGGCCTGGGATTCTAAGAAGTAGCTTTGCTTATGACCCAGTTATTTTCAAACACAAAAGCACCTGAAGGATAATTACAATTCCATCACATTTTCCCAGACTTGGCAAAGCTTTAGGTGGCACGTGCATTGGCAGGAGCACTTGTATATCAGAAGGATCAAATCCAGTCAGAAATCAACTCACCAAGGAAATAAAAAATCCATAGAAGTACATTTAGCTGAGAACAGGCCTTAGAGCCTGGGCTGCCTACTAGATAAAATGCATATAAACTGAAATTCCACACTCTTTGGATAAATAACTGCCCACCAACACTGCTCTGTGCAGCTTAAGTATTTCTGGTACATTCCTGTGCAGTTTTCCCAGGGAGGCCTTTAAAATACTGTGAATTAAGAGTCAGTTTTGTAGGTAGTTTTTTTACTTGTGACACCAAAGAGGACAAAGTCAGTGAAACCAAATGACTGCAGTCATGAAATGACACATTCTGGGACACTGAGGCCAAGCTGCTAAGAGCAGGCATGTTAATATCAGGCTAGATTCCACAACATGTTGTGGTAAAACATTTTTGCTCAGGAAAATTAAGAAAAAAAAATTGAATACTCTGTTTTCCCATTCATTAACTGCACCTTTTGATCTCAAACCATCTTTCTAAAGCTACTGAAATTTCATAATTCCTTTACCCTAAAGAATGTACAAACTTAAAAGGGAGGATATTTAGCCATATTTTCATGTCTGGAGTGACACAAGGTATAAAAGACAAAACAAGTGGGTTCATACTGAAAACAGTGTCTGCAAAACACAAATCCTGGAAAAGCCTGTGACAGGGAGCCAAACATTAATATTTGCATCCTGGCTGTAGGGTTTTCCAGGAGTTTGAGAGCCAGCCTGTGTTTGGATATACATGAAGCCCCTCATGACTGTACCTGCTTTGACCTCTTCCCCTTCTGCAGGTTTGCTTTTGGGAGGGGTTTCTCGGGAAGAAGCGTTCACCGAGCGGCGGATTGGCATCGTGTCGTCTTCCACTTTCTACAAAAAGCACGTGAAAATCAGCACAGATGCTGGAAAGAATTGGAAAGTTTTGAAATGGGATTAAAGCAAATCAAAGCAGCATAGGTTGAAATATTGGTTTGGATTTTTTAGGATGTTAAATGACAGTAGCCCTCAAACCAGCTTCTTCAAAGCATACTAGGAGAGGATAGTTCCACATTTTATGGGTATAAAAGAAATAATTTCAATTCCAAATTAAATGAGATGAGCATTTGAGGATTTTGACAGACACATCATCTCAGGGAAAGCAGGGAAGGGGAAGCAGAGTTTGTTAGACTCCCAGTCGAGTTTCCTAGAAGCAGGGCAGAAAGAGTACTGAGTAACCTTGAGCAGGACTGGAAGTCAAGGACTGATCCAAGGGCAAGCTTGGAGAAAGGGCCAGCCCCTACCTCACTTAACTTGTCCGTGTGGATCAGCTGAGCTCCCGTTAAGAGTGGAAGCGCCTTATGATGCACGGGTTCAGCTTCAGACAGATCAGTCGACATTTAAATTAATTTCTAGACCCAAGTGCAGGTAACTGTGGAGCCCCAGGTTTTAACCCCAAGGACTTTTTCCTAATGGTTTTCACAGTGCAGTGAGGAGTCAACCTAAAGTACAGAAAAGATGTGGTGTGAAAATTAACAAAACAAAAACATCTACATCCACGTACCTATCAAATTAAAGATTAAAAAGAAAAGGATAAATGACTTACAGCTCATGACCAACACAACTGACCAGCAACACTTGCATTCAACAAAGGTGCTAAAACATGTATGCAAACTGGTGAGCTATGGGTGGAGCAGAAATGGGAAAGGTGCAAGCCAGACCTGCTCCATTAGAAGATGGCTGAAAGACAAAAAGGCTCTTTAAGTCAAGGGCAAGCATTGATGAGATGCAGCCACTGCACTGTGCCCTGAGTGAGGGAATGGTCACTCAGAGACTTTGGGTAAAAGCAGGAGCTGGCACTTGGAGCTAAGGCATGACACCATTACATCTGTCAGGCAGAAGATACAAGCATTGGGAACCCAAGCCATGCCCCTCAAACTAAACCCCATGCAATTTAAAGAAATGAAGGAATCTTTTGACAAAAACAATGACAATCAGCAGAACAGCCTCCATGCCTTCTACCAGAAAACAAACTTGGCAAAGCTCTGCTCCAAACACGTGCACTGTCATGGATAACAAATTGGGTAAAGCTTAGTATAACCCTCATCAAGTCTCACCCCCTACTACTATCACACTTTTACAGCCTTTCTTACCTGCTGCCCACCTGCCTGCACTGGCCTCTCCAAGGAGAGGGGCTCCACTAATTCCATCACAAAACTGGGATTCATTGGCTCATTCACTTCCTCTCAGAATCCCCTCTAAAAACCTCAGAGGCAAAGCCTCACCTCCAGCAAAGCACAGCTGGACCTGCCCCAATTGCATGCAAAGATCAAGCTCAGCCTGCCCTCCTCCCCTCCTGACAGACAGACAGCCAAATGCCCTGTTTTCACCTCCTCTGGGCGTCTCCTTTTGCTCAGAAGGCAGGCACTTACCATAAACTTTCTCTTTCAATAGGTATTTCTCCAGCCTGGGTGTTTTCCTCTTGAACAGACCCAGCAGCAGCCCCAGCCCTGCTTTCAAGCTGACTTTCAGCACAGTTCCAGCACTGCTCTCCCCATTGCACAGCTCTGTACCACACCAACACCACTTCTGGCCCAAAAACACAGTGCTGTCATTGCTCAGCAGTGGATCCTAATCAGTCAGAGGCACCTCTGACAGGAACTGAACAGCCACTCTGAAAACCCACGGGGAGCTGGTCCTGCCTCAGCACCAAGGAAAGCAAAGCCCAACGGCACTGGATGTTTTCTTCTGAGGCAAAGCAGAAAGATCAAAACACAGCACATGCCAACAAAACAAAAAAATGAGATGCGTGAAGCTTTCTTGTGAAATGTCAGGATGTGAAAATATACTAATTGCAGCTAGAAGATACAGAATTTAGCACAGCACTTAAAAAAAATTGGCCTGTTCTGAGGAACCTTTCTTCCTCAAGTGTGGAAAGTGAAAGGAAAAAGAAATGAAAATTTTCACCAGGCTTCAACTCAATATTCAGTGTTTCTTCTAGCAAGCAGAGCCTAAAGCCCTTTAAGGAAATGCCAGAAATTTGAAGTGAGTCCTAAAATAACCAACTACAGATTCCCCCTCAGGGAAATCAGTTGGGGGCTACAAAAGACTCACTCCCTGGGATTAAAAAACACACACAAGCCACACTGTGGCTTGCATGGTCCTGGGGTTTAATTATTTTTAAGCTGTTTGACCTGCATGACACATGCACGAAAACAGTACTCCCAACTTTGAGCTAAAATTCCTCAAGTTCTGAAAACCCTTTTGTTTAGATGAGTGTATAAAGCACTGGAGACTTTTTGCTCTCAAGAGTACAACTTAGCACAATTCCTCACTTCTGTGCCTACAATACACACAAACAAGCCAGGATCCAGCAGAAATTCAGGCTTGTTGATCCCTCAGCATTCCCAGGCACGGATCATGTCCCAGGGAATCAAAGGGGCAGGAGGGCACTGCCCTCCCAACTGCAAGGCACTGATCTCCAGGGCCAAGGTCAGAAGCTGCACCTTGTGAGAGCATCCTCACAGGGACTGTGCATTGCTTCCCACAGGGGCATCAAAAGTGGTTTTCTGCACTGAGCGTGAAGTGTCAACCACAAACAGGCCTGAATTCAGTTCATCAAAAAGATAAAGCAGAGAAAGAGAAAGTTTTGCAACGACAATACAGAAAACCTCATTTCCCCCTCCAAATAAACCAGATGTGTGTAAAGGGGAAATCAAGTCACCCAAATCAGCTGTTACCTGGACACACTATTTCAAAAGACAGCTTTAAACAGGAATCACAGCTACAATTACAACCATCACTCAATAAAAAAAATGGAAGTAACAAGTGTGTTCTGCATTTACACAAACACCAAACAAACATTGTGATTTGAAAGGGAGTAGAGGTCACCAGCTGAGGATGCAGTTTGCAAAGTGATTTTAATGAACATTTAAATATGATCAACTGTCAAAAAATTATAATCACATCAGCAGTGAAAACACCACCAGGATACTAACCTTCACCAAAGTACAGAAAGTCACTCCTCACAGAGTTACACCTCTTTTTCTACAGGAAAATTGCAGGTTCACAGGCTCCTAGACTATCATGAACTGGTTATTCCAAAGCAGGTAATCCAGCTAGGAGCTAATAAGCAACAAGCCCCCCTCAACTCCTGGATTTCTAGATGAGTAGGAATGTGTCCACTCTCACAGCTCAGGAAGTACCTGCTAATGGAAAATCCAAAGGTACAGAGAGTTTTTCAGGAACTACTCTGAACCACTTATAGCAATTTCCTCCTGAACTACCACATGATTAGGAATAAATAAAGGGAGGCTTCAGGTGAGACACATATTTGATAATATTTTCAAAGCATGGAGTCCCTCCACTAATGTAAGAGACACAAGAATTAAAAAAAAGTCTGAGTTCTTGAATTTCTGCTGGCTGTAAGATTTTTCAACTTATCTCAGCATTCAATCTACTTTGAGAGAAAATGCTTCAGGATCAATTAAGTTTTGAATGTGGCAATCCAAGTGTCTGGCTGACAGAAGCTCCAGCTGACAGAGACTTAGGATAGGGTGAGAAGGCTGAAAACAAATATGCAATGGAAAAACAAGGAAGTGTGTCCAATCCTGGGCCAGTGGGGTGTCCCCTTACTGTCACACGACACCTGTGGGTGACTGATGTACTTAGATGTGACTGGGTACAAAGCACACACACCACCGGCCTGGAAACGAGGTCAAAAAGGGCTAAAAAAAGGTTTTATGCACTTGCAGGTTAGAAGGCAGGGCGTCAAGGGTACGAATGCAACAACCTGACAAGTGATGTAAGCAAGAACAGCTGTTTGTTATCAGAAAGCCTTAGAAAGCAAAGTAAAACTGGGTTTCAAAATCAGGCAATGAATTACTAACAGTTATTTACTACTCTGTAATATGCAAGAGTACTTAAATGACTTGGAATTGCAGAAAAAAGCCACAGGAAATGTTAATACTTCTGCAAATCCAAATCAAACATGCCAAAACGCATCACCTTCTAAACTGCAAGCTGCACAACTCTTTAAAGCTTTGTCCCCCTGAAATCCTCCAAGCTGCTCCCTAAAAGCCCAGCCCAGGTAGCAGCAGATACTTTGTCAAACCCTCATATCTACATAGTCACAGTACATCATCCAGCAACATCTCAGATACAAATGTGTCTGTCAGGAGCTCCCAGCTGCGGCTGCCCTGCCTGCCAACTGTTCCAGCACTCTGCCTTTGGCTTTTCCAGCTCATGGAGCTGCCTGTGGTCCTGGCCAAGTCAGGAGAACTTAGTCATTTAAACCAGCCTAAAGTCCTGCAGATTAATAAAATATGTTGTTGAATTAAAAAGAAAAAAAATTAGATCCAACTTCTGATCCTCATTTGTCAACCCACTTGGAAACTCCCTCGCATGTGCTGGGCACAGCTGATTCCCACCACTCCTGCTGCATCCAACAAGTTTTGTCCCAGTCCTTAGTGCCACCATTCCCCAGGAGGTGTCCCAGCTCCCTGGAACGTCCCCTGGTTCAGCTCCAAGGTCTGCACATGCAGCTCTCCTGCATGGAGGCTCCCAGGGCTGTTCAGGCTCCCTGAGCCCTGCACAGAGCAGCTTGTTTCCATTAACCAGGAGCAGTGGGCCAGCACACAGCCCAGAGCTCTCCTCTCGCCAGGCAGCCATCGCTCAGCCTGTTACAGATCCCATTTCCACCCCTCCTTCCTGCATGGGGTATGGGGAACAACAAACCCCAGGTGGTTCAGGGGAGCACAGCAAAAATCCTCCACACTTCTGGCACCCAACCACAGGAATTCCTACACTCACAGACCCAAAGGAGGGTTTTTTTAAGCCTAAAGATATATTTCCATTTGAAAACATTTTTGTTCAGTGTTGAATTTGAGCTTCTGACTCTGAATGCCACGAATGTGACCCAACCTACACCTTGCCTGTCCCAATTTTTACAGAGCACAGCAAAAATTAAACCCTGCCCTTCTGTGCACACAGATGCTGCTTTCAGTGAAGACAAAGAAAAAATAAAATTGGTATATTACTAAAGTGAGACTGATGCTCCCACCCAGGGCTGAGCTCAGCACTTGTCTCTGTTAGGGTGCAACACCAGCAACCCCAAGCCAGCTCAATCCCCACATCTGCCCATTAAAACAGAAGTAACCAGCCATAGCTCACCTTCCCTGCTCTCCACACAACACCAGCTCAACAGAAAACCACGACAGGTTTCTGATCCTCTCCCCAGCAATCTCTGACCTGCACAGAAGGCAGTAAGAACAGATTGTTTCCGTTGCCTGGATTATTTTCCATTCCTGCACCCAGGGGTTTTTCCTCATGTCCCCAAACAGCCACAGTCAGCGAGCAGCTTAAATTACAGCATCATCATACCTAAAACTGACACAAACTTCAGCCAAGGGATTCATATGAAGCAGAATTTCTGCCTGCACAGGTGTCTGAAAATAATCAATCTCCACACTGATGCTCAGGATCATGATGGGACAAGCTCTGAGGAACAGTTACAAGTTTTGAACAGTTTTTGGCTGGAATGGCCCTTGATCCAAATTCTCCACACTCTGTCTGTGCCACATGGCCACTGAGGGATGAAATCAACCCCATTGCACAGGGTTCAGCTTTAAGTTTAAAACAAGCTCAGGTCACAAAGTTAAAACAACTCCAATATGAAAATCCCCTGCTGAAAGTTTTCATAGCCTTGGATAAAATATCTTAATTCAGGATCCAACTTCATGAATTTTGACAAACTGCTGACACCTGAATGAAAATTTAGGCTGCAAGTGTTACATACCAGGGCTTGAACTCTTTATAGGCCATCTCCTCCTTGTCTAGATAGATTAAATTTAAAACAACTGTATAAACCTCCTCCCAACTACTACTTATTCAGCTATCATTTATTATTCTACAGACAAAACTATACACGATAAAAGCCATTATTTCATTGCAGTCTGTAAGAAATCTACCCACACTTCCCATTATAGTCCATCAATGTAACACTTTTATTCCCTCTCACAGAAGTTTAAATCCTCTGAGGACCCCAGGTCACTTGTAACTAAACGCTGCCAAGAGATTTACATGTTACTTTGGCTGAAAGGGAAAAAAACGCAGGAAAATACATTCTGAAAAAATAAAGAGCAATTCAGGAGCTTCTTCCTGACCAATGTGCACGATGAATTGAGAAGATCATTAATTAGCAAGCTCACACAGGTAAACAAGTGAAAGCTCCAAAAGCCACCTTTTTCAAGGTATTTATACCAAGTTCTTTCCCCCAACAGGAATTATATGTTGGTGTGGTGGGTTTTTTTTTGTTTGTTTGGTTTTTTTTACTCTACTCATTCCTGATTTCCAAGGATCTCCCACTCTATGCAACCTGAGGAAGGTCTGTGCTCCCCTGCCCAGTCCATCAAACACCTCCCCTCCTGAACTCAGGTCCCTCTCCTCTCACTGCTCTCGAGGAGAAGGGACACTGTTTACAAACAGAAGCACTCCCCAACCCTTCCCGCCTCAATGGCAGCTGCCTGCCAAACACTGCTGGCCAACTCTTTCTTGAAGATGCTAAAAATACTATTTATGGTCAAGGCAAACAAAAGTCACGTGCTGGGAAATCAGAGTGCAACACTTAACAGTTAGTTAAGAATGGGGAAGTGACACACTTGCTAACCCAGAGATAAATTAGGGCTCCTAAGAAGTGAGAAATACCCGAGTACCTGAGAAATGCCACAGCTATAGCCAAGCGATCAGTCCCTGCTACATTGCTTAAAGGATCGAACACACCCACAATCTCACATAATCCAACTTTCCTTCTGCAGCACAGGCTGGGCAGTTCCCCAGTGTTCTGCACACACTGGTCAGTGGGAAAACAGTTAAAATACACGTGGTAAGGATTTGTTCTGAACAGTGCTCCCAGTCTGGAGCAGGTAAGGTGATGGGGCCCCCTGACCTGGCAAGAGCCACCGCAGAATCTGTTCCTTCACTCCTTAAATCTTTGAGATGTTTTACCAAAACCACCCCACAGCCTAGAGCGGCCAGAACATAAGGATACATGTTCCAGGCAGGCTGCCTGGAAGAGCCCCGCTCCCTCCAGAGTGGAACTGAACAGCTTTCTCCACAGAGAGCCCGTGCACTGCGGGAGGAGGGTGATCAGCGCTCCTCAAGCGAGCACCCGGCCAGGGAGGCTCTGGGAGCAGCCGGGAGCCCCACACCCGGTCTGTATGCATCGCTCTCGGCGCCGGGGGCGGTTAGGGACCTCTTTTATGCACCGGAGCCAGCCTGAGGCGGCCCCGAGCGGCGGCGCTTGCCGGGCGCTGAGGCGGCGAGTCAGGGCAGGCAAAGCCCCGGACACCCGGGCGGCCAGAGGCGGCAAGGCCGCGGCGGAGCCAAGGCGCTCCCTAAGTTTATAAATAGCCATTATTTATTGTGCCGAGGCCCTGCCAGCCCCTTCCGCCGCTGACCTTCCCCGGGGCTCGCCCGGTGCCGGCGGGACGGCAGAGGCGTGTCGGAGCCCCGCAGCTCCTTTGTGAGGGCCCGCACCCCGCCAGGCCCCGCCGGGCCCGCGGACACCCGAGGCCCGGGGCCGCCTCCTCGGGCCT